TAAAAAAGAGTCCTTTCCTCCTGGATATATCCTGAAATATTTAGAAATGAAATTATGAAGTCTGAGATTTGCTTTAAAATAATGGAGGACACCAGGCACAGTGGCTAATGCCTATAATCCCAGCACTTTGGGAGGCGAAGGCGGGGGGATCACGAGGTTATGAGTTCAAGACCAGCCTGACCAACATGGTGAAACCTCATCTCTACTAAAAATACAAAAATTAACTGGGCGTGGTGGTGCACACCTGTAATCCCAGCTACTCAGGAGGCTGAGGCTGGAGAATCGCTTGAACCTAAGAGGCAGAGGTTGCAGTGAGCTGAGATTGTACCACTGCACTCCAGCCTGGGCAACAGAGCAAAACTCCATCTCAAAAATAAATAAATAAATAAAAATATTTGAAGAGTGTACAACTATTATATATCAATTAAAAATGTGTAGATAAAATAAAGTTGATATTGGGAAGCCAAGGCAAGAGGATCTCTTGAGCCCAGGACCCCATCTTTACAAAAAAATTTTTTAATGAGCCAGACGTGGTGGCACACACATGTAGTCCTAGCCACTGGGGAGGCTGAGGTGAGGGGATCCCTTGAACCTGAGAGGTCAAGGAGGCTGCAGTGAGTTGTGATACCATCCCCACCGCACTGCAGCCTATGCAACCAATGGAGACCCTGTCTCAAAAGAAAAAAAAAAAAAACAGTGGCGGAGAGGGCGGAATAAAAATAAAGTACTAGTTAAAACTTTTTTTAAACCAAGGGGAGAAGAGGTGGAATTCTAGACATAGTAAGATTGGCCATGAATTATCATTATTGGGCTGGGCAATGTGTACCTTAAGATCTATTATACAGGCCAGGCTCATGGCTCACACCTGTATCCCAGCACTTTGGTAGGCCAAGGGGGGCGGATCACTGAGGTCAGGAGTTCCAGAGCAGCCTGGCCAACATGGTGAAACCTCGTCTCTAATAAAAATACAAAAAAAAATTAGCCAGGCGTGGTGGCGGTGCCTGTAGTCCCAACTACTCAGGAGGCTGAGGCAGGAGAATCACTTGAACCCGGGAGGCAGAGGTTACAGTGGGTGGAGATCTCGCCATTGCACTCCAGCCTGGGCAATCCAGCAAGACTCTGTCTCAAAAAAAAAAAAAAGATATACTATTCTTTCTACTTTTAGGTAACTTTAAATTTTTCCACAATAAAATGTTTAAAAAATGAATAAATAAATTGTTTGTTTGTTTGTTTTGAGACAGAGTTTTGCTTTTGTCGCCCAGGCTGGAGTGCAATGACACAACTTCAGCTCACTACAACCTCCAGCTATCAGGTTCAACCGATTCTCCTGCCTCAGCCTCCCAGGTAGCTGGGGTTATAGGTGTCTGCCACTACCAGGCCTGGCTGATTTTTGTATTTTTAATAGAGACAGAGTTTTACCATGTTGGTCAGGCTGGTCTCGAACTCCTGACCTCAGGTGACCTACCCCCGACCCCAGGCCTCCCAAAGTGCTGGGATTACAAGTATGAACCACTGCACCCGGCCAATAAATTTTTAAATGATATTTAAACTTCATTTTGTATGTCTAAAAGTACACCAAGGAATTTTAGAGCTAAATGGGTCTGGGGCAAAAATTCTTCCCTAACAGATGAAAAAAATTGAAGATCAAACAGGTTAAGAGACTTGGCCAAAGTCACGAAGCCAGGCAATAACAAAACTAGAACTAATGCTCATTTCAGCTTCCCACACTGGATACCCTTCACCTGAAAAGGAAGAGTTAGTATTCTATTCTGAAGATTCTTCTTAGCCACTTTCTACTTTATAGAGTAAATTCAGAAACAAAACCAATAGCCAGTTCTCCAGTGTTTTTAGTCTTTGTGTTTTTGTTTTGTTTTGTTTTGCAGACAATTCCCTTGCGAGAACTAAATGAGATGTGGTCAGCAAATGATCCAAAGTTTTACAGTCTTACGGCATTTCACTTAATTTTTTCTATTGACATAGTAAAAGACCTTCCCATTACTTTGAAAGAAGTTTTGCATAACCATACTGTCAATTTAGTAGTTTGTCCTTCTGTCATATGTATAATAATGCAGATTCACACAGTTGCACCTCATTTTGCTTTATTTCCTTTATCCTTTTCCCTCAGGGTACTGATACAGCATTTCCAACCTACAAGACAGTCACTTTTCTACATGCAAGATTCCAAAACCAACCTCAGCAGGATTCCAATAAGATTTATGTAAATTTCAATACAGCAAGAGACCTCCCAGTATACCTGCTAGCCAATCTAAATTAATATATAACCCAAAGACTCCATAAGGTCAACAAATAGCAATAATTTAGGGTTGTAATAATAATAGCTAACATGTACAGAGCACTTCTGTATTCTAGGAACTGTGTGGAGGGCCGTATGTGTCATCTCATTTAAGTCTCACAAGAAATATACGAAGTAAATTTTATTGTCCTCGTTTAATTACTACTGAGAAAATTGGGGTTCTGAAAGACTAAGTGCCTTACCCAAAGATACATAGCTACTTTCTGTAATTATTGAACTGTAAACACTCATTACTATGAGTGATATTTTACAAAGTATTTATATGAGTATCAACAATTTAATCTTAGCCGGGTGCAATGGCTCACATCTGTAATCCCAGCACTTTGGGAGGCTGAGGCAGGCAGATTACTTGAGGTCAGGAGTTTGAGACCAACCTGGCCAACATGGTGAAACCCCCGTGTCTACTAAAAATACACAAAATTAGCTGGGCACGCACCTCCAATCCTAGATACTTGAAAAGTGAGGCAGGAGAATCACTTGAACCTGGGAGGCAGAGGTTGCAGTGAGCTGAGATCACGCCACTACACTCCAGCCTGGGCGACAGAGTGAGACTCCCAATCTCAAAAAAAAAAAAAAAAATCATATATTATTCTGAGACCAAAAATGTGACTAATATAGTTTAGTACCTCAATAACCCCTTTGAAAATGAACCCCTCAATCTCTACCACAGAGAGGCAGGAAAACTGGCTGATTAATTATACAGCACCTAAAACTTCTGAAACATAATACTAAGAAGCATATGTCACTAGTCACCAATGGTAAGTAAATTGATAAGCAGTATCCTGTGATGCAGCAAAAGCATACTGAACAAAAAAAGAAAAAAGTTTACACTGATATATGTCTTTATCACAGAATTCCCACTTTGTTTTACTATATCCAACTTGGGAATACTAACATATAAAGGTATGTTTTGTCTGGCAATTGTTTCATATGCATCTGTTTCATTTTCCTCAACTAGATAGCACCTTCTACCCCAACAGGCAGGTAGCCTCTGTTGATAGTGAAGGGTCTTGCTCCCCACCGGGCACCCCACTGCAAACACAGCTGGGGCTTCTCCCACGGGAACGCAGCATGGATGCACCTATAGACAGCCGTCCTGGAACAATTCAGAACGATTGCAGCCCCACAGAAGAAGCACTCCCCAAATTCAGGCCTATACAAAAGGCGGAGTCACAATTTCTCCCTACTTGGAACATCAACATCCATACAGATAAAAAGAGGTCCTGTCTGATCTGAATAGCTGGAACACCGGGACACAGGAAACAGTAGTATAGCAGGAATTTAATAACCACTTTTCAGCTGACTGGTGCATATTTTTGCCTTTTAAACTATTCCATGTATGCCTGTGATGCTTTTCACATAAACCATCAAAATGAGTGTTTTCAGAAGATTGACAGGAGCTAGGTATTAAAATACTATCTTGCCTACAACATACACTATGTTTTTTAAAGAAAAAAAATAAAAAGTCTTCAAAACTATTATTCAAATGGAGTCTACAATTTCAAAGACTCTGATGACCATGTCAATGCATCTTGCTAAAAGTGACCTTACCTAAACTCAACAATCACATAAACACACTTATACACAAGCACACACACACACACATACAGAGAGAGAGAGAGAGAGAGAGAGAGAGAGAGAGAATTATCCTAAATACTGGAAGACTTATTCAAATAAGGAGGGGGGGAAAAAACTACTATAAACCACACAGACTAAATGAAAATAAATCACAAAATTTGTCTTCAAATTAAGAATTTAAATATATTTTCATGGAATATATTCTAAAGAAGCTACATCAGGAATTAGATCTATGTACCAAAGGTCAAACATTTTCTACAAAATGAATGCAGCTCACATTCTGGCAGATGGATCAAAGAATCATTAAAGAATGAAGAGAATTACCATTGTTAAATATTTTTCATTGTCAGAAGCAAAATCAAATTTCAAATGACAGGAATATAAAACATATTCTTTGAGTAGAAAAGAAAATAAAAACTTAGCCAGACTCTCACATAAAACCAATTCCCTATAGCTGGATTCCCACACTCCAAATAGCAGCACTACGTCAGCCTGTGAAAGGACATTTTAGGCAAAGAACACAGAAATGTTCAGTACAGATCTCTACAAACCAAGACTAAACATCATCTCAAATCAAATCCAGATAAACAGATAACCCAAATGAGTAACAAATTAACAAAAATCACCTTTAGCCTTGCTCCATCGCCAAGAGGAAAAAGACAATTAAGTACAGTCTACATCTTTATTTAACAGATATAAATGAAAGAACAGAATAAAAGTAACTCAAGCAATTAAGATGGTAAATAAAATCCAGTAACCTTTGAACTGCCCAAAGAAAGGGCAATTAAAGTCTTTTCAAAAGTACAGACTTCAGGACAAGCAATGCTTCCTAAATAGGCAAACATACACAGTGGCTCCACATCCCAGAGCTGAAAAGAATGTGAAAACAGGAGAAAGAGCATGTAATGGCATGTATAACATGTGATGGCCCTGGTGAAAATGATCACTTATAGAATAAGTATCTAATGAGTGGTTTTAAAGGTTTACAGTTATAAGCACATGTAGTGCTCAGATCTTTGGGTTTTTTTTGTTTTTTTTTTTTTTGAGACAGAGTTTCACTGTATCACCCAGGCTGGAATGCAGTGGTGCAATCTCGGTTCACTGCAACCTCTACCTCCCGGGTTCAAGCGATTCTCCTACCTCAGCCTCCCAACTACCTGGGACTAAGGCACGTGTCACTATGCCCAGATAATTTTTGCCTTTTTAGTAGAGATGGGGCTTCACCATGTTGGCCAGGATGGTCTCAATCTCTTGACCTTCTAATCCACCCCCCTCAGCCTCCCAAAGTGCTGGGATTACAGGCGTGAGCCACCATGCTCAGCAGATCTTGGTTTTTAAATAGCCTTTGTCACTCAATGGAACGAAGGCTTCTTGGAGAAATGGTTGATTTCAAGGAGTTCAAAACCAGCTTGGCCAACATGGTGAAACCCC